AGAACAGAAAATATGTTCAGATTACTTCCTATTCTTTCAAACCCTAAATTTCACGAGTTGGTAAAGAATGTGAAAATATTTATATTTTCTCAAAATTTACATTCTAGATTATATAATGTCCCAATTCAAGTTAGAAAATGATTTCATAGGTATGTTATAAGAGTATTTAAAACGAATGGCTTTTGAATTAAAATGAATACAAAATAAAATGTAATTTTAATTTGAGCTAGCCTGGATATTAAATGCAAAATCTCTAATTGGATATACTAAATTGTACTAAGAATTTTATTTTCATTCACTTATATTAGTAAAATCGTTCAAACTACCACCTTAAAACCAGTACTTTAATACAACCAAAGATTTCCTGTTCAAAAATAAAAGCTCTTACATAAGATGGCTGATTTTTTTTTTTTTTTTTTTTTTTTTTTTTTTTTTTTTTTTTGTATTTTAAATTCCTGAATCAGAGTGCCCTCTGTTGGAGGAAAATAGGCAATAAAAGTTTCAACTAAGAATAGCTAATTACTCCCAAAGTTGAAGCCACACATATATAAAATACATTTATAAATAATATGAATACTACAAAACAAATTTTCTTTCATTTTCTTTTAAATTATTTTGGAATTATCTGTCATATTATGATGCAAAAGTAAAATGCTTTGTATTATCTGAAATTAAATTTTAACTGAACCTAAATATTCTTTGTAAAACCAGAAATATAAATAACAGACAAAAATATTTTCCACATCTAAAATTCCAACATAACATAGATATAATTTAGGACTGTTGCCAGATTGTTATTTGAATCTTCATTGATGATAAATTGAAAACAGTTCCAGTACGCACTGAATATTCGGGTCCCTCTCAGATCATAAATTAAAATCCTAACCTTCAATTAGATGGTACTGGGAGGTGGGCTGGGAGGTAATTAGGTAACAAGGGTGTGCCCTTCATGAACAGTATTAGTGCCTATATAAAGAGACAGCACAGGGCCAGGGATTTAGCTAAGCGGTCTGGAGGCCTGCCTTGCAAGCGCAAGGACCAGAGTTCAATCCCCGGTACCAAATAAGTAAGTAAATAAATAAAAAGGCAGCACAGAGAGCCCTTCTGCACCCTCCCCCTCTCCTCCTCTCCCCTCTTTCCTCTCCCTCTCCTCCCTGCCATGTGAAGAAACTGAAAGACTGTTACCTACAAACCATGAAACCAGCCCTCACAGGATACCAGCTCTGCTGACATCTCGATCTTAGCACTTCCTTCAAGAAATAAATGTTTGCTCAATAAACTACACAATCAGTAATAATTTGTGGCCATGGTCCCAACTAAGACGCTCCCTAATTCAAGAGATTTAGAAGCTCTTACGTTAAGAAACTGAAGAATAGTTTGAACACTATGAGATTTACAACGTTTATTCTATCATAATTTTCTATAATTAATCAAGACCAGTTCTGACTCATTTCAGGAATGAATTACCTTATGACGGTCCTCGCAAGTTTTGGGTTTTCCAGACCAATAGTGTATATATCAGAATAACCTGGGGAGATTTTAAAAGAACAATGTTCGGCACTACCCAAAATAATTCTTAGTCAGTGTGTTACCTGAGATATCAGAACTGACTTTTAAAGCCTCTCCAGGTAAATCTACTAAGGTGCAACCATTGCTGAGAATCAAACTTTGAGTTTCTTCTCAGAATACCTAACATAAAACTACCACTTTTATCTTCCAAAATGTTACCTTCCCGAGAAATCCCCTACTGAAGATTTTATTCTCCTCCACAATTGGAAACATCTAACTAGCTTCTCAATCTACTAGTTTGCACTTGTCCTTTGATGATAGAGTTGAGATATAATAATATACAATTACATTATACATCACAGTATGGTTCCAGCTCCAAACTGCCTGTGTTCAGATTCTAGTTCTTGGACTTACTGTGTGAACGTGGAAGTCATCAAAGCTCTCTATGTATCCATTTGATCATTTGTTAAATGGGAAAGATGATGCTGTCTTAGAGGGTTACTGAATCCTCCACAAGTGTTAAGTGTTATTATTACCTATTCAACTTCATTTCCCTCTACTTTCTAAAGCTACTTTCATGGTATACCATTCTCTCCACATTACATTCTAATTCTCACCTCTAGTTTTGCACAAACTGATTCTTCGGGCTCGAAATCTACTTATTCATTCCAACACAAGTATAAAGCACATCTCTCCTTCCTCTAGGTCCCATTTTAGTCTCTCCTTGCATCAATGCAGGCTTCAATGAATGCCTACACATCTTCACTGATTTCTCCTTTTTAAAAAAGTCCTTTGGCCATAAGGTAACTTAACATAAGAAATGAAGCTGGGAATTAAACAGACTGAAATTGAATCCTCACTGCACCGCCTTGCCAGCTGTGTCATTTCCCAAATCTATAATCCCATTATTAGGATTGTTTACTAGGGGCTTGGGTCCTGACGGCATTAAAACAGAATAGCAAGCACCTGATAAATGTCATATTATAATACATATTTGTTTTATATGTTTATTTTGTCTGTTCATGGTGATTGAGGGCTCCTTGGGATGGACATTTTGAACTCCTTGAAGTCGTGAATAATATTTAATACCACTACTATAAAGCTATAATTTAAAACACAGTAACAACCATCCACAACAGGAGATATAAAAGTACTACAAGCTTTTTGCATAATTTGAGAGGACAATTCATAACAATACTCTGGAAAACATTTTTGATAAATGGAAACAAATACTGAACAAAACAAGGAATAAAAACAAAGCACAGGCCATAGCTGGATCACTGTAATTGGATTACTTTTAAATATTCCATAACAAGTTTATATCAGATTCATCTTCTGAAAAGCCAATACCAATTATGTCTTCTAGCTGTCCAAAATCCTTTAGATTTTCTCTCATTTTCTAAAACATATATTCAAAATTCTTGGCTTGACATTCAAAAGTCATCCACGACCTGATCTCATCTATCCTTCTAATCTTACCTCTCATCTTTCTCCTTTATAAAAATTCCATTATCCCATACACAGAGAACTTCTTGCTCTTATTCATATAAGCTGTCTGCTTTCTATCTTATATAAGTTTTAATATTTTGTGTGACTATAGTTTCAATTATATTATAAAGGTTTGTCAAAGAACAAAAAGTCACATAAGAACATATGGGCTCATATTTCAAGAACTTAAATTCAAATTATGAGCTTTAATTTGTCTCTTACCAATATCACAATATGGCCTCCAGCTTATAAAAAAATTTAGCCACCTCTTTCCTCAAACAATGTCACCCCTTCAATACCAAATGCCGCTGCCATCACTTCCTAAAAGATGAAAGCTAGTGCTATGGTCTGTAAGAGTGCAGACACCACAACATACAAGACATTCATTGGGTAAAAGGAATAAATCAGAGCGCCTACTTTACTTTTTCTTTACCTCCCTTGCTTTGAATTTCTTGTGATGTAATGTATCATAACTTACATCGTATATTATTAAATTAGAATATATATATAATTTTAAAATACATACAATAGGAATTGTTGCTTCGAATTTGTCTACTAGAGTATGTACAGAAGAAAATTTAGAAGCCACTGGTCTAGAAAATTAAGACTTTGGGAAAAACTGGGTTTAGAAGCAGAGGGCAAGAAGCTACTAGTTCAGAAAAATCTTTAGGATTTTTCTAAAAGCCCAAACATCATGTATTATGTATATAGGACAAACATGCTTTCAAGAAAATATTAAAATGCAACAGATTTGTAATTTGGAGATTGCATATACCTATTTTAGACTCTTTGAACATTGAGTTTTAAACATGGAATAAATATTTCATTAAAATAACATTTCATTTTGCAAAGCCTATGAGTATTTACACACACACACACACACACACACACACACATAATTAGTTAAAACTTCAAAAAAATTTTAGGATTGCAATAATGTGATACTTTACAAAAGAGTGCAGGCCTGGGATTTAGCTCAGTGGTGCCACCACCTGCCTCGCAAAGTCCCAAATTCAATCTCCAGTACAAAAAAAAAAAAAAAAGACAGTGCAGCAAAACAAAAATAAAGCAAGCTCAGGAGGTAAGTTTAGCCATGAAACTAGATTACCAAGTGCTATTCAGGGAAACAGTGTCTAGCTCACTTAAGTAACTAAATAAAGTAAATGTCACAAAATGGACAGTCCTTACATTTGGAATATTTTTAGTTTTAGTAATGACAGACTTAACACAGTCAATCCTATTATTGGCTACTCAATAACATACCAAGCTTCTCTAATCAATTAATTTCTAAAAATGAGTAAAGGGCCTATATCATAATATATGTCCTTTAAGGCCCTTACATACTACAAAGCCTTGCCCATAAGAACAAGAGTAGACATATAAATATTAATTTAAACTGAGTAGTTCTCTATAATTTTTCTCATTGATGTGTTAGCATCAAAGTCCATAAAGACCAAGAATCTCTAACTCATACTTTAGATTTTCAGCTCGTAGACACAGACCTCCTGGGATTTGCATATTATGAAAATACACAGGTTCAGCTTTCCATGTCTTTCTAGTACTATGGCTTAAGAAGTGACTGAGGAACTATATATTTGTTTTGGCTGTCTTGTTTAAAGAGATGCTAGACTGAGTTTATATAGAAAACAGGGAAGACAGTTAACAGGAAGGTTTTCTGCTTTGGGAACCTGTATCATTTTTCCCAATAAAAATGAATAAAGTCAACCAAGGATACTATGAGTCTAGTCGATCTGTCACAATACACTACAACAGAGGAGACACCATCACAAACTCCAAGTGATAGATCAAAGCACAACTTTCCGTACCCACACAGTGAGCACAGAACACCAGTGAACATTAGAGACCAGTAGGGAGAATCATCATGTTTCATAGCAGCAGAATCTGATAATATAATATTCTGTACCAAATCCCACATCTCATTGCTGTACATATTGAACTGGCAAAGACAAACGCATTGTCTTCATTTTTCCCCTCTTACTTACTACACTCTGGCTTCCATTTTTCCCAAGTTCTTCCTCTGAAATCTTGCTCAAATTATCTAAGTAGTGGTCTGATATTGTGTGGCATAAATCTTCAAAAGAATAATCCTTCTCTTGACAAAGTTTTATTTCATCCAGGAGTTTTGACAGTTCTCCAGTCACAGTTTCACCTACAATGAGATAATTTTTTCAGAAGCTCCAAGAAAGCCTGTTAAACTTAATGTTAAATAATAAAAATATAACCACTATGGGGATATTATCAAAGTATGACAAACAAGACTAAGAAAAATGTCACCATCACCTGCCAAAACACGAGCATTCTGTAGGTTACATTTTTTTTTTTTTGGTACCGGGCATTGAACTCAGGTCCTCCCACTTAGAGACAGACGGCAGAACCACTGAGCTAAATCTCCAGCCCTGTAGGTTACATTTAAATACGTACTACTCTTAAAAGGATCAAGTACTTTATACATATAATTATTCTTGAAAAAAATTTAACAGGTATTACAATATAGATCTTAATATTTTTATTTTGAATTAAAAGCATATTTAAGATTAGTTGACCACTTATGTATAGATTTATTTCTAAGCTCTTTATTCTGTTCCATGTGTCCATTTGTCTATTTTTTAGTGTCAGAACAATACTCTTCTGTAGCTCCTCAACAAGGGTTCCAAGAACCTACAACACAGAAAGGATAGTCTCTTCAATCAATGCTGTTGGGAAAACTAGATATACAACAATGGAAGAATGAAATTGGACCCTTACTCTCAGAACATAAGAGTAAGGGAAAAAATTAAATATCCAATGTTGGGTATTTTAAAAATGGATCAAAAACTCAAATGTAGGCCACGAAACGAGAAAACTTTCAGCTTTATAATACTGATCTATAATGTGAAATAGGAAGAAAAGGGGCAAAGGGATGGGGAAGGAAATAAGGGAATTAAATTAATATGAGGAAATGAAAAATGGAAATGAAGTCTTTGCAGAAAGGGAGGGATGGAGGGGTTAAAAGGAGGGCATGTAAAGGTGCAAATTTCCAGTGATGAATGTCATTATATTGTATACCTTAAATATACAAACAAAATTAATTTTCAAAACTATATAATATTGGTCTGGATAATGATTTTTTAGATAAAACACCAAAAGTAGAGATGCCTATGGTTTAGAAACTTAAATGTAGGACCTGAAACAATGAAACTCCTAGTTGTTCTTTTTATTTTTATTGATCTGTACATGATTCTTTAGGTACAATGCCAAAAGTATAGGCAACAAAGGCTAAAACAGGCAAATGGGATCGCCCCAAACTAAACAAGTTCCTCACAGCAAATGAAATAATTAATAAAGTAATTACATATAGAATGGAAGAAATTATCTGCAAAACATAGATCTGGTAAAAGATTAAATTTCAAATTATATAACAAACTCAAATGACTCAGTAGCCAAAAATAACTCAAAAATGGACTAAGGAGCTACACAATCTTTTCTCCAATAAAAATTGGTCAACAGATACATGAAAAGTTACTCAATATCACTAACCATCAGAGAAATATAAATCAAAACCGTAATGCAAATCATCTCACACCTGCTCAAAGAGCTATTATCAAAAACATGAGAGATCACAAGTGTTGCTGAGACTATGGAGAAAGAACCTTGTATACTGTTGGTTAGAATATAAAATGGTACGAATGCTATGGAAAACAGTGTGGTGGTTTCTAAAACAAAATATAGAACTACGGGAATACTGATGCAGAGAACTTTTGTAAATAATCTATAAACCTACAAAATGTTAGGAAAATGTAAAATGACTTCTGTCTCTAACAGCAATCTGCTTCGTTTAGTTCAAAATTAACAGGCATTGGAGGCACTGACCATGAAGTGGGACACCTGGCCTCATCCCTGACCTTGAACACCCACTTCCTGTGCGCTAGAATAGATAGCTAGAGGAATCTTAAGGCAAACTCCCCAACTGCAAAGAACTGTTACATTTGGGTTAACGTTAACTATCCTGTGACCATGATATGAACTGTGAGAATGGAATGTAACCACCCAAATGAAGCCAAGGCTGTAAAACCCTATAAAAGGAGGAGTTGTAACCCATCGTGTCATTGTGGGTCCAGGCACTGCTTATGTGCAATCAACCCTCCTCAATGAATAAATTTGTTATTTTACTTCCATTCTGCTGCCTCTCTGTGTGTCATTTGCCAGTTCCTTCCACAACAATACCACTTGGGTATTTATCCAAAACAAATAAAATCAGTATCTTCAACAGAGATGTATGCACCTCCATGTTCGCAGCATTATTCAAAACCACTAAGACATGGACACGTGTCCATTTTGGGGTGAAGAGACCAAATACATTATGTGTATGTGAGTACTGTATGTACATACACATACAAATGTAATTTAATATGGATAAATCAGTCTTAAAAGGATATCCTGTCATTTGGGACAATGTGAATGAAACAGGAGGACATTTAGCTGAGTGAAATGAGTCAGACAAATGTTATATGATCTCACATATGTGGAATCTAAAAAAAATTTAAGTCAAAAGCAGAGAATACAATGGTGATTACCAAGAGCTAAGGCTGGAGAAAATAGGAAGATCTGACCAAAGGGTTCAAAGGTTCTGTTATAGGGGATGAGCAAGTTCTGGAGATCTAACATAAAGCAAACATTGTACAGTATAGTTGAAATGGGCTAACATGGTTGATCTTAACTGTTTTTGATCATCAAAAACAAGAAACTGCAACTATGCGAAATGGTAAATTTGTTAATTTGGTTGATTGTGACAATCAATGCACAATGTATATATGTATCAAAACACTGCATTGCATACTGAAAAAATAAACAACTATTAATTTGTCATGTAAACCTCAATAAACCTAGGGAAAAACAAATTTATTTTAAAAATCAGTGAGTAATATCTACTCTATATAGATTTCAGAACAGCAGGGAAAGCCACATGCTTTACTCACTACCATACTTCTGGGCCTCAAATAGTTCCTAACAGGTAGAGAAACCTAAAAGATGCTTAGTGAATAAATATATAAAATATAACACTATAGGATATGACATATTAGATTTAAAATTTCCACAACTGCTAGAATTTGTGACAAATGTGTGCATAAAGGGAAAGGAAAAATATGAGAAAAGGAAAAAAATAGAAACAAAGTCTTTGTAAATAGGAAAGGGTGTAGGGGTTGAAGGGAAGGCAGGGAAACGGAAAAAATAAGAACCAAGATACATCATGTAAAGGTACAAAATCCCAATGATGAATGTAACTGCACTGTATACCTAAAATGTACTAATAAACTTAATGAAAAAAAAAGTCAAAAGTCTAATATATGTTCTAGGGCTTTATAATTACTCACTTTTGGTCTTGTGAGAAGGAGACTCAGCAGGAGATGAAATGTGTGTTTCTTCTGTTGTATCTTCCTGAACATGCTCTTCAAGGACTGAGGGTCTTCCCACACCATCTAAATATTCTATGGATAGACATTTTTGCAATTACATGTTTGGATTTCCTTAGGTTAAAAATCAATTGCAAAGCTTTATGTCTTACTTCTGGTGACTGACTTTTCATTTATTTCCTCATATCTTAAATACATCCTCAATTTTCAAAAGAACTTCAAAAAACAAAAAGAAATTTATGATGATTTTTAAAATTGTTTAAGTTATAAAACAGTTTGGGGGAAACTCATGAACTTCTACTTTCCTTAGAAATAAATGTATTTATTGAAGACACAGCAGTCTTTTTTTTTTTGTACCAGGAATTGAACTCAGGACCTTGTACTTTAGAGGCAGGTGCAGAACCACTGAACTAAATCCCTAGCACCATAGTAGTCTTCTTAATCTCCTTAAATTTTTCTATCTGAAGATTTAGAACTTCCTGAAATGTGCTTTAAACAGATTCGATCACTCACTGAAACAGTGATATTCAATTCAGAATACAACACCAACTCATTAACACACATGAATGAAATAGGGTAAGTTTATTTTATACTGGCACTACAATCTTGCAAGATAAACATATCTGAACGCCAAACTATCTCCACAAAGAAATAATATTAATTCCCATTATTCATACAGTAATGTCCTATACTCACTCAGCCTTTCATTTTTCTTGAAAAGATATTAAAATATTAGCAATTAAAATTTAAATAATGTTTACTGTATAACCAGTGTAGCTTAGTATTTTATATAAATCAACTCATCTAATCTTTACAAATCTATGACATGTGCACCATTACTATCTCAGTTTTAAAATTGACAACTAAAGAAGGAGGGTTATTAACTTGTGCATATTCACAAAGCTAATAATGTGGTGGAGCCAGACAAACATGGGACACAAAAACATAATAAGGAAAACAAAATTGAATACAGGGATAAATGTCAACCAACAGCCAACCTGAAAGTACAGAAAGTACATACAGCATATTTAATCAGAGAGCAGGTGTTCCATCCAAAGTTCAGCAATGATACAAAATAAAAGCCTTGATTTTTTTTTTTTTTTGAGAAGCCAAAACTTAGGACTGTTAGCTAAAATTCAGAATTTTTTAAAGGTTAATAGTTACTACAAGTTTTATGGAAACAGTGTGGACCAAAAACATGTAATCTAAATAAACTATATATCCTATATGCAAAAAGTCATCAGCCCATGTGGCTAGGTTACAGCCTTTTTACAATGCATTAAACAAACAGACCCCTTTTCACTGGGATCTTCTGCTTATATTCTTTAATCAGAAGGAACTTGTCAAAACAATCGAGAAAATCTCATACAGGAGGTGCGGCCTAGCTGGAGGAAGCAGGTCACTGGAAGCACGACCTGGAAGGATATATCTTGCCCCCCTACCCGCCTCCTCTTGTTCCTGGCTGCTATGAGGTGAGCAGTTCACCTCCCCCACGCCCATCAGCCATAATGCTTCTGCCTTGCCACAGGCCTAGAAGCAATGCAACCCATCCACCACGGACCGAAACCATGAACCAAAACATATGTCTTTAAGTGATTTTCTTCTGGTATTTTGTCACAGCAACAGAAAATTGATTACATTTACCTGAAGAATCTATCCTGTTTCCCTCCTCTGTTATACTTAGAGTCAATCTACAACAATGGCAGGAAAATGGCTGCTGAACAGTGTAGGGGCTAATTACAGAGGAGAAAGAAACATCTAGGTTTTTAAGGTAACATGCTCTATGCCAGGCCTAAAGATCAACCAAAAAGAGAAAGCATTTAAATCTAAATTTTTTACAAGAGCTTTAGATTGAGAAGCATCTGATTCTGCAAATGAAAAAGTAGCAGCTGGATTGTTGTCAAATCATCAGTAGACCTAATGACTGCACCTAACTACAAATGTACTAAAATGATCTTTATCAAGAACAGAGGCTAGTAAAATTAATTTTGTACTTCTGGAGTAGGGAAGAAACAGACTGAATCCAGCCAGATTCAACTATTGTGTCGCTACTGTTAATTCAGTATTTATGTACTAGCAATGCTATTTAGCATAGACTATATGAGTTTGAACAAAACATCTCTCAGAGCTCGTTTCCCTCTTGTGCAAAAATGAGACTAATATCTGGCTTATCTACCTAATGGTCATAGAAACTAGAAAAAACAGATAAATTTCCCAAGAGTCTTAACTATTATTCAAATATAAGATAAACCTTAATGGCCACTTTATGTAAGTCATTCAAGCACACAATGACATATTTACTACATAGATTTTAAAGAGTTTTAGCATAAAGTAGTGAATACTTTCACTTTTAAAAAACCTACAGAATAGCTGAAAAACAAATAAAACATTTAAAAAGTGATTCAATTTTAAAATCTGGTAGAAAAAATGCAAATGGTAAGTTCATTCAAAAGTAAACATGACTCATATCACAGAGAAGTATGTGCACCCATGTTTATAGTGGCACTTTGTAATAGCTAAATCTTGGAAACAGCCTATTTGCCCATCCGTTGGAAACTGGATAAAAAAGTTGTGGTTTTTCTATAAAATGGAATATTACTCAGCCATAAAGAACGAGAAAATAGATTCATTCATAGGAAAATGGATACATATTGAAGATATACTCCTAAGTGAAATAAATAAGTCACATATGTGTAAATACCGAATAGTTTCCCTGGTGTGAATAATCTGCAACAATGCATAAGATTCTAATAAGATTACTGACATTTAGAAATGGGAAGAAAGGAGCTAAAGGTGTAGGGAAGGTGTGATGGGTAGGGGAAGAACAAAAAGGGAAAAGAAAAAAATGTGACAGAATGAAAAGATGAAAATAAAGTGTTTGTAGATGGGGAGGGGAGGAAGGGGTGAAGGGAGGGCAGAGGTAAGGGGAAAAAATGAGAATCAAGACTTGCCATGTAGAGGTACATGATCCCAACAATGAATGTAACTGTACTGTATCCCTAAAATGTACCAATAAACTCAATAAAATTTAAAAAAAAGTAAACATGACTCAAATCTCAAAACAAAAGTTTAAATTTAATTTTGATTTTAAGGAAAACTCCATCATTCTATATTGTTTACCTTGTAAGAGTGTTGCAATCTGAAGAGATTTCTGAGATGGATGTTCTTTCAAAATGTCTAAGACAGTTCGACCTAAGTTATCCTTTATGTTGGCATCAATTCCTGAAAGAAAAGAGAAATTCACTGATGTTCACCACTGGAATGTCCTCAAAAGATACTGCGAATATAACTGCTCTAATTTCAAACATACATAGAGTAAGCACTGAAAGTGCTTTTTAAAATTTAAGTAACACACAAGATTTTCATAAGAAAGGAGAAGGAGGACCTACTACTACCAAAACTAAGTATATTCTTGATAGTGAATTACTTCCTAAGGGCCACTGACTCAACCATTACAACTGCTTTTCAGGACCCTCTACCCACTTCTGGGATGCAGAGGCTAACTAAATAGTACACTAGCAAAGTGGAAAATATTACTGACTTATAAGTGAGTTTCTAAAGTATAATAGCTATATGATTTATATAGTCTGTATAAAATAGTAAAAATGTTTAATAAATGAAAATCATGTATTATGTAAACAATATAAAGACATTCTTAGAAAACTTGAGAACTCATAAAATTTGAAAAAGAGTGAATAACTATTCAAATAAAACTTCTCCACATACAAAGCTAAACACCACATAAAATTTGTTTCTGTGAGATCATGCTCAATGTCTACCATATTCATCAGTTACCAGGGCAAACCTCTCAAACTACTGAAATCATAACCAATTATAACAGCACATAATAGCCAATAATAACATCATTGTCATTATTTCTGAAAATATTTATTATAATAAAGAATTTATTTTAAGGTAGCAAATAGATTTCACTATCCTAAAAAAGATTATGAACTTTTCAAACACCTAACTACAAACAAAATCAGTTTTTAGGATCTTGTCTCAAATAATAATTCACCATAAGATTATTAAATATTTCATTAAATGTGTTCGGGATTTATAACTAGCACGTATCTCATTGGTTGCCTCAAATATTTTATTATGTCACCGCAGTCCATGTGAAAATTAAATATACATGAAATTTTCACTATGCAAGCACAGTCATAATAGTCTGCTAATGTTTTTTCATTTTTTCATAGGAAAATAAATATTTCGCAGTATTCAATACAAAAGATCCACATCAATTGTTTATGAGTATAAATTTTTACTCGTGTCTTTTGTTCTTTAAAAACATCTGACCTCAATTCCAATTTTATTTCATAACCAATCAGAATATTTTTTTACGTGTGTGTGTGTGTGTGTGTGTGTGTGTGTGTGTGTGTGTGTGTGTGGAAATAATCAAGCCTACTTTCCTATTCCCTCAAGAGCCTGCTTCTAAAAGCTGCCCGTTAAAATTAGTCACAGTAGCCAAAAAAACAACAGCTACTCATTTGAAGTAACCAGAAGGAGAATTTACCTTAAGGAGAGGGAACCCAAATCTCTGCTGACCATAGTTCACATGATAAAAACCTAGGAAAAATATTGTGTTCTTTAATAAACCAGCAATTGTCATCATTTCTCAGGGATCAATTCCTCCTTTGTGCAGAAAGCGGAAATCTCCTTTTCTTTTTGGTAGAGTCTCAAGTGTATTGAAATGTGTAAAACAGTATTTTCCAATAGCTTTTTACTAGTAACTTATTGACTAAAGGAAGGTGTGCTTTTACATGAATTTTATCTAAACAGCAATGCTCAATTCTACATAGTAGGAATACAGATCTGCACTTTAGAGTGAAGGAAGAATGACTTGTGAAGAAAACCATCATTTCCTTTACCAATTCCTGAAACAGAAATAGCATTCAGCAGGATAGAAGAACCACAATAGCTACCTGTTTCTAGCAGAACTCGAACAACATCCACCTTTCCAAACAAAGCTGCTTCATGAAGGGCACTCCCCTTTTCTGTCTGAAAAAAAAAAAGTGGGGAAAAGGAAAGCATAGCTGCATCTGGAATACATATGAAGTTTTTAATTCGGTCATTTTGCGTATTCATACATATTTTCTCCATTCTCAACACTCACTGATAGAAAGGTAGTATGGAATATAGAAGAGATTCTAGAAACAAAATACAAAGATTTGGGTTTATAAAACACCTCTGCTTCTGGGTTTCCCAGTTGGTCTTGCTGTATCAGGAAGCAACTCACCTTCCCTTAGCCTCCAAGCATCGCAATGCCTATTACACGAGGCTTTTGTGAGAGTACAACAATTTCACTCAGCCAGCGTGCACTCGTTAAACACCAATTCCATCCTGAGAACAGCTAGGGTGTTCTGAAGGATGGAAACACCACCTCAGCCTTCAAACCCACATCCCACTTGAGGAGACCTATGTATAAATGAACATTTATAGTAAATGAAATCTAAACAATTTAACATGGCTTACAAAGCCTGTTTGCCTTCTCCCTGCTTAATCTCCCTCCTGTCTCCTGCACTCCAAGACCCTCTTCCCATCTACATTCCCAGCTGACTGAGCTTGTTTGTATTCTAGTCATTCTCTTCTCTTCCCCGGAGTCTCAGAGGCTGGTCCCTCTCTCTGCCTGCCGGGATCTAACTAACTCCTAGCCTTCTTGACCGGGCCATCACCCATACCACTAGTTCTCAGTCTTCAGAGAATCACAATCACTAGAAAGCTTGTTCTGGGCCCCCATCTCCATAATTTCTGATTCAATGGCCAGAGATAAGATCCAAAAATTTCCATTTCTAAACAGTTTCCACAAGATACTGAGCATGTAAAGAGTAGACTTTGAAAACCACTGATTTATATTATATGTTAAATCTTAACATCATTTCACTGAGGAAGCTGACCCTTGCCCTGAAGATCCATGTTTTTCCTCTGCATTTCGTATCCATCTGTATTCTCTTTATGATAGCACTGAGAATAGCACATTACAATTTCAAGTGATTATTTATTTCCCTTACTAAACTCAACGGAAAGGTAGACATCTATTCTTTCACCATTATATTCCTACTGCCTAACAAAGTACTTTGGAAATAGAGAAGTTTAGGAATTATTCTGAGAGCCAAAAAAAACAGGAAGGAAGAAGGAACCATAGGATGGAAAAGGAGAATCTGTGAGCCATGCAGATGCCCCTTAGTAGTACAATGTGAGCCTGACTCTGCCTTGAGGAAAATAGATTTCAAAGGGAAGGCATTAAGCTTATAAATGTTAAGCACTTTCTTTCTTTTCTGTACTTTTTTTTCTTCTTCTTCCTTTAAGAAACTAACAAATGCCCAGCAGTCCTCAGTGAAGTGTGTGTGTGCCTGCTGCACAGGTGTGACAGAATGAATAACATAAATACAGCAATTTTATTCCCTTGTACTAAGGTAACCTTTAATGTGAGATTCTAATCTCAATATGGAATAGAAACAACACTGAAACAATATACAATGCAAACATTTCTTCACTGGTAGACGTCTACTGCATAATTAACCCAAGCAAAAAGGATCTCTAAGTGCAATGGTAAAGGAGGTTCAGGAATACTGATTACCAATGTGATCTGAACGTATTTTTAAGAAGACATGAGTGAATGTACTTGAACACGACTGCTAAGTTATGTATAGGTGTAAATAGAAGTGAGATAAAATAGTAATCTAAAAATATATAGCACTGAACTGAAGGCAAAAGAAACTAAGAAAACTTTTCTGCTCTTAAAATATACATATTTATTTCACTCTGGGATATGAACATTTTATTTTTTCCAACTCTTGAAAAATATCGCATCAAATACCCTAACTCTTTTTACTGTCATTCTGTATTTCTCAACCAACATTCTGATTATTAATTTGATCCCCTTTCACAAAATTTTGGACTTAATGTTTGAAAAACCCCTCCTTGGATAGCACACCTTAAAATTCTGAAAATAAGCTGAACAATATTTTTTGTTTGGTTGTCTGTTTTTGTTTTTGGTACCGGGGATAGAACTAGGGACCTTGCACTTGCAAAGCATGCGGCAGAACCACTAAGCTAAAACCCAGGCCCTGAATAATATTTTTAATACAGGGCTGAAAGTGAAAAGTAATGTCAGGAAGGAGAAGACAGTGTGAGTTCAGAAGTTTAGCACTGGAACAAGTTCTAAAGCAACTGCCTACTCATACGGACCATACAAAGTAGAGGTGGAAGGGGACACATAGCTTGAAGTCCAAGGAAGTTGGGAAGCTGGACCCCTACACAAAATTCTAAAGGAAAAAAAAACTCCCAAGAAAAAATTATTGGTGAAAATAGTTGCACAGAAGGAAAAAGTAGTGAAGTCTATCTAGGTCTTAATTTCTACAAAAAATAGAATATAAGACATAAATCCCACAAAGAATTCCTAATCACAATGCTACACTCACTTGGTGAGTTTAGGCAGAAATTATACAATTTCTATGACCCCCCCACATCCTGAACCAAGATGATATACACATGGGAGAAATCACTTAAAAAACATGGGAAATTTGTATATCCTGTAAATGAAAAATATGAAAAACTTAATAGGGGTATTAGGAAGGGTAAGATAAACATACAACAAATAAGATTTTTAAACTGCTTTATTAACTTATAAAGTAATAACAACTATTATTATTGCTACTCCAAAGCAATTAGCAATCTATTTGTAAAAATAACTTCCATGATGTTAATATTATAAAATTATATACATATCCATCCTTTACACATTATTCTAAGATTACAATTCCGGGTTAAATAAGACTAGTATTTTCATACAATAGATAAGAAAACAGAATTCTCGTATATAAAAGGTTAATAAGTAGAAAGCTGAGACAGGAGGTTTACAAATTCATGGTCAGCCTAAACAACCTAGCAAGATCAAAAACCACAAAGGCTAGGATGTATCTTAGTGTAAAAGCCCTCAGTTCAAGCCCCAATGCCAAAAAAAAAAAAGAAAATGAAAAGGTGAATAAAGAATACTTTTTAGCCTGTATGTTATAGTTTAGATCTTAAATGTCCCCAGCAAATGCTTAGTCACCAGCCTGTAGTGGTACTGAAGGTGGCAGAACCTGTAGGAGATGGAAACCTAGAAGAAGGTCTCAGGGGCACACCCTCAAAGGGGCTATTGAGACCTGGCCCCTTTCTCTCCGTTTTTTACTTCCTGTGCACCAAGAGGTGAGCAGTTTACTCTGCCACATGCTCCCTGACTCCTATGCCACAGGTGCGAAGGACAAGTGGCCATGAACTGAAACTTCTGAAATCATGAGCCAAAATAAGTCTTTCCTTCTTATTCATTGATTGTCTCAAGTATTTTATCACAGCGACAGAGGGCTGACTAACACTATAAAAATGGATCCACATAATCAGCTTCTTTGGTAAGACATCAGAATAATCTAATGGAATGGACTGCTGAGGTAAACAGTGGTACCAGGAATTATCCACTGCTGTCACAGTGTTATCATAAATACTATGGAGCTTAAAAATGTCCAATCTGTGGACTTCCATAATAATTTTATTCCATTCAATAATTAGAAAAATCCAAGCTATTTTGCCAAAGCATTTTTTAAATTCCTGTATTCTGTAGTTCATATCCCCTACACTGACTAAGCATCTAATATATTCCTTCAAATTAGCACTGTTCCATACATCTCAGCCCTCTAGCACAAATCCACAACCCACAACTGGCAGACCTTGAACAATTGGGTTCTCATGAAATATTTGGTGAAAGACAAACAAGAAACAAGTAGAACATATACAAGGAAATAATACTCAAAAAGGTAAATGCAAATCTTCCAAGCTCTAAGATTTTAGTCCTACTTTTGCTATGGATTCAAGTTCTCCATTTTATATGAATTAATCACTTAAACATAACTTCTAAAATAGACAATCATGCAACTGATAATGTAGCAACACTTCAGGATTTACCCAGTAAACAGATATAACGCACTCATACTATCTCAGCACCTTTTGGTGGAAGGGGAAGGATAAATACCTCTGAACACAGTGATGAAAACAGTCAAGGAAGAAGAATGAAAATGATATATACGTTAAGATAAAAAACTGAACTGCTAAAGAAAGTAAAGAAATTCTCTCATTGATTAGAAATGTCTGTTAAGGTCAAGACTCTGTAGCAACAAAGTTGAGAAAAAACAAAATAAGAAGCAAGAAACAGCAAAACAGGATTTTTATAGCCCTGGGTTTCAGCTTGCTTTTTATGTTTGGATTCATATATTTCCATGACTTCTGAAGAAATGCACCTATGTATTTAAAGGGATGTTTGCTATATTTTACTCAAAATTTCAGGATATTTTAAAATTATTTTTAAGTAGCTGGATATGGTGGTGTACACCCATAATTCCAACTACTCAGGAGGCTGAGGCAGGAAATCAAATGTCTGAAGCCAACCTGTGCAACTTAGCAGGAATCTGTCTCAAAATTTAAAAACGGGTATCTGGGTATCAGCTTGGTGCTCACTAGGTTCAATCTCCAGTATCCAAAGAAAAACATCATGTTTTGGGGCTATTATCCACCAAAATGCCAAAACAGCAAACAGAAAAAGTCCATGAAGATATCAGCATGGTTCCCCTCCTGATTTTAATGCTCTAACAATAAGACTCTTTAAGCCTGTGAAAGAGAATGGCCCAATAAAGACCAATTCTTAATTAGAGGAGCAAACAAACAGAACAATAATAATAAGACATAAAGTATGATCATAGTAAAAGTTAGTAGAGAAAATAGTACCAATATTTGAGATTTGAGTCCCATGACTACTATAAATAATTATCAGTGAATAAAAAAAATTTGATGGAGTTAAAGCAAACACAACGAAAACGACATTCAACTCAGAAGTAAAGATCCCTGGTACCTCGTCTAATACCAAATAGCCATGATGCCATCTCTTGGGATAAAAGGATAGAACTCAGAAGGTAAAGACCTCAGTCTTTGTAAACAAGCGAGTGATGCTCAGTAAGGCAGAAGTATTT